CGCAGTGAGTGCCCGGCTAATACGTGGGCGTGGTCGGGCGTCGCTCAAAACCTCTCCAAAGTGATTCAGTTTTAGAGCCTAATATGAATGCTCTTTTTGTATATAAGGTTTATCATATGAATTTCCACAACATCTCTAAATAGTATCCTTCATCACATCTCGAGTGCGCTCTTTTCCGCATGTAATTTACACAGATGTCTCATATTCTTTTCGTTTTTGTTTTACTAAACCATACTGTTTTGCAGGTTTAACGTTTATTTTTTAGTCTGGAATTGTTCAAAATTTAAGACAGGAGAAATTCTTGACAGTAGCAATTTAATCACTATTACTCTTGTGTATAAGACGTTGCTTTCTACTCTGATCATTATTCGTTCATTTCCTTTTTATATCTCACTGCATCACTACACACGTCTATAATCTCTGGAATCGTTAAATATGTCATACTATTAATAATTCCACTCAGGGGCGGATCCAGAATTGTTCAAACGGGTGAGAACAACAGTTTCAAAATAGGTTAGTGAGTAGCACATAACATTGATTTGCATTGACAATTTTAAAATTTAGTGGCAAACGAAGGGTGGGGGTGGGGACGTTTGCCGCTACTGGATCCGCCACCGAAACTTGCAACGTCCTAAAGACGACGGAGACGATAAGACTCGCCGAATTGTGAACATGTTCGCCATGGGGTTTTAATATAGGAGGGCGGTTTCTATGGGAGAAAATAGAACGTTTGATTATTGACCTAACAGCTATTATAATTATAGGCCTAATACTATTAATGTTTTATTTAATTACTACAAGAAAATAGCAAATAATAACAAAGAAATGTAATACGCAGGCATTTGGCTTAATAATAACATGTTGGTCTATAGCACATCATATATATTCCGGCATCTTCAGGAGTGGCGGAAGCGGTCGGAAAGGTCAGGTGCCTACCTGACCAATAGTTAAATAAATATTTTGGTCATCTAGAGTAATATTTTATAAAAAAAATAATTCTTTTTCTAAATCTTCAAAAATTTGTAAAGAGCAGTGTTCTTCCGAAGCCGGATTTTGGCCCCCGGCCGTGATTTCGGTCTTCCTCAGCCTATTGAGAGTGATTTTTGCCTTAGGGGCACTCATGAATTCTTTCCACGGGACCAGATTACGGCCCCTCGTTTGGTTAATACTACCTGGATAGTGCCTAATTGTCTATCGTATACACGTTACGTACCTGTGACAATACATTATTGCCAGATAAAAGTTTAATTATAAGCAATCGTTTTAGATGTGCGGAACGGCGGCGGTAGAACGTTTTTGAAAGTGGGTGGGGGACCATTTCATAAGCTCCAGTATGTGACAGATTCATATGAATATCATCACATTAATATAAATAAAACGTAATATTGACATTCAGCTGCATTTTAGTAAAGTAATTTTCCTTAGATACCATAAAACTTTAATAATCCCATATAACACATTACTGTATTAGTAATCCCTTCTAATAATAACCCAATGTAAAAATTAATCTATAATAATTACCCACTACTCTAATAAAAACTCAACTCATTAAAAGACATACCCTGGCCGGAAATTACAATTTCGTGGTTTCAATGGCTTATTTCAGTTTTAGCGTCTACTAATATGCATGCTCCCCACCCAACCCCCCAGGTATGTGCTCCATAATTTTCTATGGTTCACAGTATTGTACATATAGAATTTTGTATACAAACTGCAATAGTTTTGTATAGGAGGTTTATCATATGCACTTCCACGATATATCTCTATTTTGGCCCCTTTCAATCAAAATAGATCTGTCGCTGATTTGTATATTAGTCTATGCTACTACTGTATTTCTAGTGTGTAAAGATTAACAAAGTTGAACTATTTCAACTATCTAATGTCATTAGTATAGATTGTGATATCTGAAGAACGTATTCCCTATTCTATATCACATCTCAAGTGCGCTATTTTCCGCAAGTTTACCTCATTTGATTTACACACATGTCAAATTTTGGTTATACAAAAAATAAATTATCAATAACACAAAGGAGGAGTGTTTTAAATCTGATCTTTAAAAAGGGGGAAAGAGAAAGTCTTGATAATTGGAGACCGATATCATTACTGAACATTGACTATAAAATAGCTACAAATGTCTTAACAAAACGTTTGCAAAATGTTATAAAATCCATAATAAATACTTTTGAAAAAACTTTGTGTATACTGTCAAATTATGAGATAGTTTGCGGCTAGTGCGGGAAATCAAAACTTCGGTCACAGAGATAAAAAGTTTGGGAAGCCGGGAGTCTAGCTCTCACAGAAAGAGGAGTTGGATTCGTGGTACGACGCACAGTGGGCCAGGGCGAAATCAAAGTGTGCCAAAAGTCAATTTTGGTGACTATGGCTTTTACACCTTTTTTCACATATTTGAAGATGGGTATACCCTGGTGAGTCTATCCTGAAAATATTTTACATTTAAACAAATTTTAAGGGTAGTATTTTTCAACAAATGTCGGAAATTTCTCTATAAATATTTCAAATGCTATAATTGACTACATTATATCAAAACACATTTTTTTTTTTTACAGAAAATTCGGAATTACTTCAATATGTACACGTTTATATAAATTGGGGAACACAAATATATGTTTTGGTTTAAATTTGAAGTTTGCATCAATAATGAATCGTTAAACGACAGAAAAAATATTTAAAAATCTATTTTTAGAAAAGTAGGATAGAAAGTTTAGATTCATGCTTTAATTTTTACATCACTATCTTCAGTATAGCATTAGCTTTATGATGGTACCAAATTTAGCTGCTACTTTTTGCAACTTTGCGAGCTAGGCGCACTTTTATTAGTCTTGTTTTCGTACATTTGAGACACAATTTAATTAGAGCAAACCGCAAATCAAAGGGATGTACGCGCGTCTATTCAACCAGTTGGTTCATGCAAAGCGTGGAAAAGCTCTCCAAAATTGACAAACTGCTCGTGATTTAACAGTAGCAAATCTTCTAATATTTTGTTGCTGTTTAGAATACTTTATTAACTTTTGAGCAGCCTAATAATCCAAATATCATATATTATAATGAAGATGATATCTACAAACAGGCCTATATCTAGGCGTCAATTGTTTTTAACTTTATTCAAAGACATCGGAAATTTTGAAAAGCTTTCTGTTTAAACTTAAGGAGAGGTGAGCTACTACGCGAGTAGTAACGACCTTCCCATCAAACAATAATACGTTATGATAACGTGACAATAACGTTACAGTTTTGTGTTAAAAACTTTATTTTGTAGAACCATAAATACGTACTGAACATAATTTCACAACGTTTGCACGTTCCTAGAACGTTGTGTAAACGTTATTTTTTGATATACCTAACCATAACATTGGTCAAGAACGTTATGAAAACGTAAACACGTGTATGCCGGGTTTCCAAAGAAAATAACTCTTGGCTTGACAATTGGATTCCATTTTCTGATGAAATTATTAATGTTTTGACAAAGAACAGAGATATTCTTTCCACACCAGCAGAAAACCCACAAGAAACTTAAAAACAACCCAAACCGGAACGTCCTATCGAAGTATGGGAGGATCTTTCCAGAGAGTTCGCACAAGGGTAAAGTACAAGAGATGTTGACATAAAATGTACGCATTGAACTACTTTATGATGCATTGCTAGGGGCGTTCAAGAAGGATCGATTTTAAAGTCCACTAATATGTAGAAAATACATAGACATTTTATTTCTCCCTGACGAATTGTAGTTTATCTTCCCAACGCCGGGGGGGGGGGGAGAGCTCTCTTCGACGGAGACCTCTCCTCGACGGGGACCCTTCCCCTTCCCCTCCCCTGCTGGCATCACCCCAGAGGCGCAAACCGGAATCGTTCACGACGGATGAAACATTGTCCATCTTTGTAGCTCTATACTAAAATGGGACTCCTCCTTACACCAAAATAAGAGTAGCAAAAAAGCATTGATATCCTGGTGGTACAGTATACCTGTCAAAGAGAATAGCAAATGTTCCTCTTCAAAGCCTCCTCGTTCACACTGAGAATTATCAACTTACATAAAATGACTATTATCGATACTTTTACAATATAGGCCTAATATGATTGAGGACGGAATTAATATATCATGACATTGGTGTAGGCCTAATGTCTGATAATTCCATGGAATTTCAAATGAAAACGCATTTTTCATTTAAAAAATGTAAAATTAGGTTGTCTGGTATTATTATAAATTTTGATTTCGATTTCGATTTATTAAAAAAAAAATTATATTCACTGTAAGATTAACAATAGAACTTTTAATGTTGGCCTATGCCTAAAACACTTTTGGCCCCGTCCAATCAGAAAAATGTATTTTGATGACGTCATGGAAAATACAATAAGTTTCCCACAGAAGTTCTTTTGTCCCAAACCTTCTTAAACATTTAAAAAATCATTGCAATATGAACTTGTTTTGGTATTACAATGAAAACTGACATCGTTTAATCAGAAAACAGTACAAAAATGATAATATAAAAAAAAATCTATCATATAGATTTGAAAATGCTTTTATTGAATTCTACGGGTATGAAAACCTCTAGAGAAGTCTTGTATTCGCTTAGATTTGCTTCTGTAATGAGAAATTAATTTTGGCACACTTTGACTTCAGTCTGGCCCACTGTGCGACGGTCGTACGACGCAGTTAGTGCCCGGCTTATACGTGGGCGTTGTCAGGCGTCGCTCAAAACCTCTCGAAAGTGATCCAGTTTTAGAGGCTAATATGCATGCTCTTTTTGTAAATAGTATCTTCCATCTCATCTCGAGTGCGCTATTTACCGCATGTAATTTACGCCCTCTACAGATGTCTCATATTCTTTTTGTTTTTGTTTTCAAACTGAGTTGATTTATTTAATAGTTGATAGTGAGTTAAGTGTTAATTGAAAATAGTGTACTCATGGTGTTTGCCGAGACCTCCAAATAGAATTCTGATCAGGACAGACTTCTAAGTAATAACAAATTTACTAAACCATACTGTTTTGCAAGTTTATCGTTTATTTTTGAGTCTGGAATTGTTGAAAATTTGAGACAGGAGAAATTCTTGACAGTAGCAATTCAGTCACTATTACTCTTGTGTATAAGACACTGCTTTCTACTCTGACCATTATTCGTTCATTTCCTTCTTATACCTCACTGCATCACTACACGTCTATCCTCTCTGGAATCGTTAAATATGTCATACTATTAATAATTCAAGACAACAGTTTCAGAATAGGTAAGTGAGTAGCACATAACATTGATTTGCATTGACAATTTTAAAATTTATTTGGCCAACTGAGGGTGCAAGATCCGCCGCTGAAACTTGCAAAGTCCTACAGGATTCGAAGATGTAGAAAAGCACACGTAGCTTGAACAACAAGGTAGGTAACCATCAGTTTTGCCGTATAGTGAACATGCTCGCCATGGGCTTTTAGTACAGGCCGGTTTCTATGGGAGAATATAGAACGTTTGATTATAGGCCTAATAGCTATTATAATTATAGGCCTAATACTGTTAATGTTTTATTTAATTAATACAAGAAAATAACAAATAATAACAAAGAAATGTAATACGAAGGTATTTGTCTTAATAATCACATGTTGGTCTATGCTGATCATATATATTCCGGCATTTTCAGGAGTGGCGGAAGCCAAAAAACGTTGGCGCATCGGTTGTGGCTTGGACTCCCAACTTCGGGGGTCGGGGGTTCAAAACTCTCGCTGTGGATTGTGTTTGTGCAACTCCCACCCGAGTCACTATCGGAGATTATTTTGGCAAATATTTGGAAACGTAATGAGTGCGATAGCAGAGTACGGTAACACACACACACACACAGGAGGTTTATCATTTTCACGATATATCTGTATATTTTGTTGGCCCCTTTCAATCAAAATATATCTCTGGATGATTTGTATATTAGTCTATGCTACTACTGTATTTCTAGTGTATAAAGATTAACAAAGTTGAATTATTTCAACTACCCAATGTCATAAGTATAGATTGTGATATCTGAAGAACGTAGGCCCCATTCATACACATCTCAAGTGCGCTATTTTCCGCCAGTTTACCTCATGTGATTTACACACAAGTCTCCTCACATGTCTCATTTATTTTTGGTTCAAACTCTCCTTGTGTTGATTCAATTATCGTTAGTGAATGTTAATTGAAAATAGTGGACTCAAGTGTTTGTCGAAACCTCTAATAGGCTTATAATTTAGGACAGATTAAGTAATAAAAGATTTACTAAAAGCATACTGTTGCAAGTCATCCTTTATTTTTTAGTCTGAAATTGTTGAAAATTTACTACAGTAAGAATACTTGACTGTGCAAGTCAATCAGTATAAGTCTTGCGAATAAGAAATTGCTTCTTCTCTGATCATAAGCCTATCTGTTCATTTTGGTCTTATACGTCACTGCATCAGTACACGTCTTCTGGGGAGAGGGGTGGTGCAGACGGTGCTATCGCACTTTTAAATTGTTTTAAGAGAAATAATTGTTGAATTATATTGTTAACATAAATTATTATTGGTGTGAGAGTGCAATTTCCGGGCACACAGAGGTCCACATTCTCAAATTATTGCATCTCAGCCTCAACAGTGGTGTAGACTCTCTTGCACCCATGGGAACAGATCAAAAGGGCAGGGGACAACCCCTCTCCCCACATATTTTTAAGGGGGTTGGCTCTTCTCATTTTTCGTCCGCAATGCAATTTCACAAAACAAGAAGATGCCTAAAAATTGTTGATATAAACTGCATAATTAACCACGTTTTAACGAAAGAGTGCTGTAGCCAGAGTATATCTTAATTTATAGGCCTAGTAACATACCGGTAACATCTAGAGGTACTATTTCCCTCAGCCCCAACCGGGGGCTGAGAAAAAGTGTCATTTCCATCATCTACAGGTACTATTTTCACGAAATTCCCCCATCCACCTTTCAAAACAGACCTGCGCCCTTGCACGCACCCCTATCGCCAAATGCTGCATTAGGCAGGATGGTTTCTATAGGCCTAATAGTATTAATGTTTTATTAAAGTGGTCCAAATGTTGGGGTAGCCTATAGACCTGACAAATAGGCCTATTGTGCTGAGATAAATATGTTGGTTATGTAGAATACCGTATTAAAATTTTCTATTATAAAAACCAGTTAAGTTTTTCCCCGTAAACAGTTGCGTTCCGAAGCTGCATTTGCCAGTGTCACAGAGATGTTGGCACCGGCCGTGATTTCGGTCTTCAGGCTATCGAGATTGAATTCGGCCTTCCGGGCGCACGGATTTTTTTTTACACAGGACCAGTATACGGTCTCGATTGGGGAATGATTATTTTGATATGCTGACATTGAACCGAGAATGTTTATAACTGTAAATCTATTATAAGCAATTCAATAAAAGAATTTTCAAATGAATTATCTAATTCGATATTTTTGTATTTTTCTGAATTCTTCGCACGGCGCTAGATTACGGATCCTCGTTTGGGGAACTTGACATGGAGAACAGATGCGGCGCCAGTAATTCTCTGACGGGTCCACGCTTACCGACAAGAGGGTCCACACCATCGGGGATGTCTTGTGCTCTCCGGGAGAGAGTTAACATTGTCGGGTAAATTTTTTTTATTAAGAAATAATAGAATTTTGTGTTAATTATGAGTTTATTTAAAAAAGATAATTTGATAGAAAACCATGTAAGTTAACAGTCCCCCTGTGGGGTGTATTAGTCTCCCTGTCGGGGCTACTAATCCTCTGTCGAAGGTACTAGTCTGGGAAGAGCTAGCCTCACTGCGACCCACCAATACGATGCAATATACCACACCTCGCACATACGGTAGAACTGCTCCCTCCAAACATTTTTAGTCACTAAAATTTAGTAAGGCATGCTTGAATTGTACTTTCGGCGAAAGGTAACAGGTAATTTTTTTAAAGAAGATATTGAACAAAATTTAATATGCTGATATTGAACCGAAAATGTTTTAAATTTTAAGCCTATAATAAGCAACTCAAAAACGTTCGAAGTTTTTAAATTAATTTTATTAATTTTGTTTTCTTCTCTTTTTTTTTTTGTATTTTTTCCTGATCACGAATCAAAAACTGTATGTGTTTTTTGGAGAGTGCACAATATATTCCTTAATTCTGGAGGGCATTATAAAAATGCATGACAATTGTCCATTGACTACTGCCTGGTATAAAATTATCTGATAATTATCTGATAACCGTAGCCTATTTTTTGAATACAGGCCTACTTTAATAGTGTTTGTCGAAACCTCCAATATAGTCCATGACAGATTAACTAATAACGGATTTATTAAAACCATACTGTTTTGCAAGTCATCGTTTATTTTTAAGTCTGGAATTGTTGAAAATTTAATACAGGAGGAATTCTTGGTACAATTCGATGAATGTTACACCTTTTAGAAACTGATTTCTGCTCTGATCATTATTTGTTCATTTCTTTGTTATTTCTTATTGCATCAGGCTGTACACGTATTATATATAATACTATTAATGTTTTATTAAATATTAAAATGGAAAATAATTAAAAAAATGTCCGAAGCGGTCCGAAAGGTCAGGCGGCGTCTAGTACCAATAGGGCTATTGTGCCGAGATAAATATTTTGGTTATCTAGAATAATATTTTATTTAAAAAATATGTTTTTCTAATTCTTCGGAATTTTTTAAAGCGCAGTGTTCTTCCGAAGCCGGATTTTGGGTCCTCGGCTGTGATTTCGGTCTTTCTCCGCATATTGAGAGTGAATTCGGCCTTCAGTGAACAAGGATTTTTTTCCACGGGACCAGTAAACGGCCCCTCGCTTGGGTAATAATTATTTTGATATGCTGACATTAGATAGAGAATGTTTATGATTCTAAGTATATTATACTAATTCAATATAAACATTTTCAACTGAATTATTTTCATTCGATATTTTTGTATTTTTCCAACGATGATAAATCAATAAAAATAATTCGTTGATGAAACACATTTCATTTAGTATGTACATGATCGTTTTAATATTTCGTCATTATTAGAATAATTAATTATAAAAAAAAATCATAATGACTTGTAGCAAACCGTGAAATTTTCGATATCATTCCGGCATCAGGGCAGCAAAAGTGGCCCCGAGGGTCAGGCGCCTACCTGACCACTGGGCTTGTACTGAGATATTATTTTTTGTTATAGTAATTTTTTAAAATAAAAATTATAATTAATATATTTTTCTAAAATCTTGTAATTGATATGTTGTTTAGTGTTACGAAGCCTGATTTACCGGTGTCACGTGGTTTTCTCTTTGGCCGTAATTATGTTCTTCCTAAGCATATCGTGAGTGAATCCGGCCTTTCCCGGCATGTACGGAATGCTTTTCACGGGGCATAATTTCATATATTTGCTTATGAGCCCCTTTGTAGGTTAGTTCTTAACTGCACATGACAGTGTATATTTTTTATTTAACACAATCATTTATATTTAATTCATTATTTACTATATATTTGAATAGATCACCCATCAGTTTTATATAATATGTATCTTGAAATTATATTTTTCTTATAAAATGCGTGAACGTTTTCTTTATTTATATATAATTAAATTACTAATTTCATTATATATAAATAATGAAAGGATAACAAAACATTATTTATATATAACAATTTCACTGATAACAAATCATTATATATCAATAATGAAAATTAATTATTTATATAAAAGTACGTTCACTGACTTCATTCTACCAGATCCATGTTCTATTACGATTTTGTCGTTTTTCCATATTTATATCATTTGAATTGATTTTTCAAAATATGTTGTTATCGTATACACGATAAATCGTTATCGAATCGCCCTGTGTAAAAACGTCTCTTATTTCTTTTATTTTCTATATGAACAATTCGTTTACATCTTGTTATCGTGGCGAGTATAAAGAGGGCTTGAATTGTACTTTCAGCGCTCAAAACTTTATTAATTTTTTCCCCGACGACCTTGCTGGAAATTCCCCGACAGGAGGGTCCAAGCGAGGGACCTTTCCCATACCCACCCCCGCACCCTGTCTGGTCGACTGAAACCGATAGTTGAAATGCGTTTTTAGATAATGTTATGCATTAATCAGTTTTTACACTATTATCAAAATAATATTCGCCATTTACAAATTAGTATGAGGTGGGGTGTGATAGAGAAGGTGTTTGTTCTTACCTTCAATCTTGGTTCAATCAAATCTCCAGCAGTCCATAATCGTTTAGAATCTTCGGACAAAGTGTCTGCCAAAGCTATGGTCAGATAAAGAACCATGGACAACCATACCAAAATAGACATAGATCTAGGCATGACTTTGAAAAAAGAAATTATATATATATATATATATATATATATATATAACATAAATCAAGGTAGCCGTTAACACTGTTAAATTATATATAAATCATCAAAGAAAGGTAAATACAGTGTTCGAATAAAGGACTTAATAAATACATCGTGTAGCATAGCTCTCAACGAATGTAATCCTGTAAATAAATGAATAAAGAAATTGTGTAATAAAATGCCTATATATTTATATATACATATGATATATTAAGGATAATGATAATATATAATTAATGCTTGCGGTACACCACGTAGATAGTTCTGAAAAGAACTGTTGTTGTTGGTTGAGAATATCTCGACGTTTCGGTTGACTTGCTTCAACCGTCTTCAGGAGAATAATATCTGGAGACACAGATATTATTCTCCTGAAGACGGTTGAAGCAAGTCAACCGAAACGTCGAGATATTCTCAACCAACAACAACAGTTCTTTTCAGAACTATCTACGTGGTGTACCGCAAGCATTAATTATATATTATACTTTGCCATGCAAACCTTCAAATAATGATAATGATAATGATAATGATAATGATAATAATAATAATGATAATAGTTCTTTATTTGTCCTCAACTGTAATACACAGTGGAAATTTGGGCTGGGCCCCTGAGGACCCGCGGCAGCCGCAGTGCAGCGCCACCCGACTTAATCTACTACACATACAACGGATACATGGTCCTTCACTCGCCTAACTCTCCTGAAAGAGTTATTCGAGGAGCTGAGCATTTATAAAAGACCCGAATTCAACACTCGGCAGAGTATCTGTCTCTTATACACATCTAGATGTGTATAAGAGACAGCTGGAATTAAGATACCATGTAGGCCTATAGTATAAATCTAAAAAAATATAATAATAAATTAGGCGTTCTTATTCAGTGTATGTGCTATTAACTTCCAATAAGTCACAGATAGAAGCATTTCACACACATTCACAAATTACTACAAAAATATTTAATTTTCTCAACAGCAAATTTAATTTGCTCTTAGGCCTACCTTGTGCTGTGTAACCTAATGTCTGAAAGAAAACGTCAGATTGATGTAGGCGCCTGGGCGTTTATGAATTACACATGTTGTGTCTTTACTTAAATTATGTAACTGAAGTAATGCATTTTGCTTACCTGTTAAATCACTGTGTGTTTGCACTGTACGTAGAATGATGTTCTAACGCAATGTGCATAACAAATTCAGCCGTATGTTGCTTTTATAGAGCTATGTTGCTTTTATAGAGCAGAGGCGGATGGTTGACTATTACAGACCGTGCACTGCTTGCCACCACACCTTATTAATACTATATTTATTATTATATATATTTTTTTATTAAATAAATCCTTTTTAGTTGTTGTTAAGCGCATAGAGGTAGTATTTTGCAATAACAATATGCGCTATATAAATAAATATTTATTTATCATTTATATAGTGGCAAGTCCTCGTCCAATATTTTGTCGATTCGTGTTAGTGTAAAATTATTATTTTAAATGAAACATATACGAACTCAAAAAATGCTGTTAATGGTAAGTGCCTAAAAGGATTGAGCTACGATATATTGCAGGCGCATGAGTGGTAGACCTAAATAACAAACATTTATTTATTTTTTAAAAAATATTTTTGATTCATTTACGTCATTATTCCAAATTTGGAATTAGAATCAATCGAATCTAAATAAAACCCGACCTTGGCTGTTTAGAACCGAGCTTGAAATAGAACCGGGCTTGAAACTGCTTGTTCAAGAAAGAACATCCGACTTGTTGATTCTATATATTTTTTCTCTTTTGTGTGGGCACCTTTATTCCAAATTCAAAATCTTATTTTTCACATTATCATAATATCATCACATTATCATATCAATTCATATAAATCACATTTTTCTTATCTTCACTAATATAACTAAAATTTAACATTGGCATTCAGCTGCATTTTAATAAAGTAATTTTCCTAAATTGCCGTGAAACTTAAAATAATCCATAAATTACACATTACTGAATTAGTAACCTCTTTTAATAATAATAACAATCCGCCGTGAAATTAATCTATAATAATAACCCTCTATTTTAATAAAAACTACAATTTCGTGGTTTCAATTGCTTATTCGGTTTTAGAGTCTACTAATATGCGTGGTCTTTGCCCACCTCCACACCAAATTTTTATGTGCTGCATATTTTTCCATGGTTTACAATAGGCCTATTCCTATAGCATTTTGTATACAGACTGCAGTAGTTTTGTATGTATGAGGTTTAGTATTTCCACATTATGTCTGTATATTTTGTGGCCTTCCTTTCAATTAAAATAATGTCAGTCGATGATTTGTATAATTATTCTACTATTTCTAGTGTGTGAAGATTAAAAAGTTGAGCTATTTTAATTATAGGCCTAATACTGTCTCTTATACACATCTAGATGTGTATAAGAGACAGATGCATCACATTATCATATCAATTCATATAAATCACATTTTTCTTATCTTCACTAATATAACTAAAATTTAACATTGGCATTCAGCTGCATTTCAATAAAGTAATTTTCCTAAATTGCCGTGAAACTTAAAATAATCCATAAATTACACATTACTGAATTAGTAACCTCTTTTAATAATAATAACAATCCGCCGTGAAATTAATCTATAATAATAACCCTCTATTTTAATAAAAACTACAATTTCGTGGTTTCAATTGCTTATTCGGTTTTAGAGTCTACTAATATGCGTGGTCTTTGCCCACCTCCACACCAAATTTTTATGTGCTGCATATTTTTCCATGGTTTACAATAGGCCTATTCCTATAGCATTTTGTATACAGACTGCAGTAGTTTTGTATGTATGAGGTTTAGTATTTCCACAATATATCTGTATATTTTGTGGCCTTCCTTTCAATTAAAATAATGTCAGTCGATGATTTGTATAATTATGCTACTAATTCTAGTGTGTGAAGATTAAAAAGTTGAACTATTTTAATTATAGGCCTAATATCATTAGTAGAACTGTAGATTGTGATATCTGAATAATTTAGAATTATTTATATTCTATATTGTCATTGGTTTTACTTTATATGGTTTTCTATCTGTCTCTTATACACATCTGAGAGCTGTTGGCAAAGTGTAGATATATCAAGTCTAGGTCTCTTTAGGTCATGCATGTAAACATTTGTAAAAATGACATAATATTGTAATGGAGTAAACGATAATTACATTGGTATGCTGATACTACACTGAAAAAATCCATTATTTAAAGCTATTAAACCAACATAATTTTCATTTAAGTCGATCTCAAATTGTCCATTGTTTTTTAATTGAAATATAGGCCATTGCTTCGCCCAGCCTAGAAATATGCGTCGTATTTCATTAAAAAAAAGTGGCGTATGTTGTGTTTGTTTAATCAAGGAGATGTTGGAATGAACACAATTCGTTGATGAAGCAGACAGATTATGTTTTTTTATTAATTTGTTGTAATCAAAATTTAATATCACCCCGTCAAGATTTCTTAATGGATTTTAATTAAACAGTATTACTTCGCTCAGGCCTTTATTTCATTATCTTAACATTACATGGCTTTTGCATTGTCTGAAATTTCGAGTGCGCTAATAATCGTTTGCTATAGCATGTTTTGCCCAAATTCAAACCAGATGATATTCATCCAACATTTGTTTTGCATTTGACAGAACAACCACAAATTAAACTCTCTTTGCATAACCCCTACCCCTCTGGGATTTGTCACTATTGCAAGATGGTTAGTATGAATGTAAAGAAAATACTTAGTATTCTATTTTCTTCTATGCTATGAAGCTCTGAATCCACCCGTAGGACCCTAGCTGTGCGATAGTCGGGATGAATTCTAGATTCGCGCCTGAGCATTACCGAAAGCTGTCGGCGAAGCATTTGTCGTTCAACCCTAAGCCGCCGTGCCCAAAATTATGCATACGCTAGATTTATTTTTCTCGAGGTGTTTGGTCTCGAATTAGAAACCTCTAAATATTTGGTCTATAAAAGAAAAGACAACATGAAACAACCATTTTATAGTATTTCAAAGAAACTACTACTTGAAACTGTAAAACACATTGAAAACAAAATCTGAACAGCGTACTGTAAAGTAAACATAAAACATCAAATTTACAGTCTATTTCACATAAAGAAAGATTTATTTTATTTTTTGTTACTTGGCATTTTCTTAATTCCAAATCTTCAATAAAAAGTAGATCCGTAGCCAATGGTGTACAACTAAAAATTGCTAGCTTACAAATGCATAAAAAATATGATACACTTAAGAATAGTGGTAGGGTTTATACAAGCTAAAAAAGAGTGATATTTCAAATGCCAAATACCAAAATGAAGCAGTTTGTTGTCCTGTTTGACACATTTTTTTAATTTGTTGAAAAATGGGACAGTGCGGGCCCAAAAAATGATGAAGAGCAAGGAGAAAGTAACCCTTTAAAAAAAAAAAGGGGGGGGGGGGGGGGGGGGAATGAAATGATTAATTTTTACTTTAAAATAGAGGGATGGGCGAGTACAACGACGGTGACGGCACTGGATTTTGGAGCGCGGTATTCGAAAACGAGGCTCGTGAACTGAGTCCCAAAAAAAAACTGGTGCTACAGGATTTTGAGCTATTTCTAGTGTGTGAAGATTAAAAAGTTGAACTATTTTAATTATAGGCCTAATATCATTAGTAGAACTGTAGATTGTGATATCTGAATAATTTAGAATTATTTATATTCTATATTGTCATTGGTTTTACTTTATATGGTTTTCTATATCGCATACCGTAAATGCACGAATAAACACCTCTTCCGAATAAGCCGCTATCGAATAAGCGCCGCTCTCCAATAAGCACGCGTGGCACTTAATCGAGAATAGGTCTATATATTTACCTGTGTATAATTAAACACTTTGAGAAAGAGGGTTTTAAATACAAGGCATACAGAGTGTTAAAATGAATAAATAACACAATGAAGACACAAACATTTCTTTATTAAAATTTATTTACGATGACGTGTGACCTATGAGAGGTTTGCTAAGTTAAACTAGCAATTTCGTATTTTATTTATAAAAATTTATAATATTATATAAAAATCAGATTTTTCTTAACAACTGAAATTTTGCCGGGAATGAGGCTTTAAACCTATTTTCCATTAGGCAAATTTATTCCCGCAAATCGAAAGCGTCGGTTTATGTGCATGTGTATTCACATTCCTATTGGAGTTTTGCGAAGTGACAAAATGCACAACCATTCAGAGCTTAGGAAGCGAACCGACGCTTTCATTAGCGCGAATAAATTGTGGAAACCCAACTTTATGTCTCAATTTTATTCCTGAATTGATTCAGTTTTCGTTAGTGAGATATTCAATGCTAATTGAAAATGGTGCTCATGGTGTGTATCCTCTACATAGCGATATTAAAGGAAGTTTAAATATGTTATGTAGGAAAAACATTTCAAAGAGAGTGACGAGATACATCATGGAGGACCACTGTAGAACAGCAATTAGCAATACATTTTTGATGCAAGAAGTAAATTTACAAATTGGTCTCCACCACCCATATCATATTATTTTGAAAAATACAAAACTCATGATATATGACCCCTGAATTAAAAAAAAAAGATCCTGGATGTAACGATGTAAATTGCACATTTTTAAAACGGTTGCTGATTTTATGATGTTTTAAAATCTTCTTTCTGTCTTTGTCAAATTTTTTTCGTTACCTTTCCTTGCCACCTGCTTTTCAGGGTAAGCATGTGACCTAGGTTTTGCTTGAAAGTTTTATCCTTTTGAATAAAGTGGTTGAAATGAAAAAAATTGTCTTTTTTTTGGTTCAAACTTTTCTCCTTGAGTTGATCCATCTATCGTTAGTGAGATCTTGAATTTTAATTGAAAATAGTGTATTATTGGTGTTTGTCGAAATATATAATATAATTTAGGACAGAATAAAAGATTTGCCAAGCCATAGTGTTTTGCCAGTCATCGTTTATTTTTGAGTCTGGAATTGGAGTCTTGAAAATTTGATACAGGAGGAATTCTTGACTAGTTCAATCGATATCACTGTTGTGTATAATAAACTGCTTTCTATTCTGATCATTATTTGTTCATTTCGTTCTTACACCTCACTGCATCAGTACACGTCTGTCACCTCTGGAATTGTTTAATAGGCATATGTCATACTAATCAATCATGCATCATAAGTGAATATGTGCTCCACCATGCCCCGTTTGAAATCTTTCAATATTTCATGCGAATTCGGCCGGCATCGGAACATAATGGCATAGATGGCCTAGCGGCGTTTGAGTACTAGGATATAATCAAACAGGTGGATAATTTTACGAGGCTAATCATTTACATTGACTCGGAGCAGGGAGTGTTATGCAGGAACGGTTTTTATGCGGGGTGGGGGTGGGGGGAATTTTGACTTTAATAATTAATATGATTATAGGCCTCATAATACTATTAATGTTTTATTATTTAAAAAAAATGTAAAGAAAATAAAACAAAACAAATTTGTATCGAGTGTATTGTCTATGTTAATCTATAGCGCATCGTTTCAGTATTTATCCATGAGCGGCGAAAGCTTCGAAGGGTTAGTAGCCTACCTTACCAGTGGAGCTCATTAGTAACATCTCCCACTGTACCCTTCCTTCCGAATAGAGTTGGTAAAATGAGGAAATTTGTAATTCGGAGAGTTTAAATTTTCATAGCATCTCAGTGTGGTGAGGATAGGCCTTGCCATGGGTGCAAAATTTTGACACAAAATATGACTAGGATTTTACAGTTTTCTGCAACAAAATAATACTTTATGGAAGCCAAAATTACTTGTGCCGATTTCCGAATGAAAACATGACCATAATGACCAAAACGAGTGTAAAATTCTTTTCATAAAGATCATCGCGAATCTCTGGAAATAGCGCCCCCAATGCAAAAAATATGAGATTTACTCTACAGTAATATACCCGAACGAACAAGCATGCATAGCTTAGCTTTATATTTCTTGCTTTAAACATAGTTTTATGTCACTTTATTTATTTTAATGTTTTCTTAGCTGATATAACGTTGGGGAGTCAAACTTCCATTTATATAATTTGTTCACCATCGTATCAATATTACGTTCATTATTAGAATAATAAATTATAAACAAAGTTTAATAAACATCGAAATATTCGATCAATACGGTTTCGCTTATCAGTCTTATTGGATAGTACAATTTTATTATGGAAGGCGTATTAAAATACATGACTATTGACCTTTGACCATTGTCTGTATAAAATTATCTAATTGGTGGCCACGTGTTTGTTTTGTTTTGCATAGCCTATTTTTTGGATATACTTTCAAATTGCAGATTTATTTATTGTTTAGCGAGTTATTTAATATTAATTGAAAATAGTGCACTCACGGTGTTTGTCGAAACCACTAATATAATTCAGGACGGATTAAGTAATAAAAGATTTACAGCAATATACCTTTTTGCTAGTCATAATTAATTTTTGAGTCTGAAATTGCTTAAAATTTGATATAGAAGGAATTCTTGACTCTAGCAATTATAGTCTGTTGTCTTATGTCATATTTTTTAACTTTGTCAAATTTTTGGGTAGATTCTTGGCAAGCATGTCTAAACACATCTAAAAAAGTATTCACACCACTCGATTAACGTTACGCTAACGTAAGTCGTTGTGTCTGAACATAGCTAAAATGACAATTTAATGACTAAGAAGTAATCACGCTGTACTACGACGGTCCAATTAAGAAGGGCACACTCATTTTTGGCGAATGATTAATGCCATAGTAATAACAAAAAAACTTAATTTGTCGAGTTTCACAAACAGGAATATTTGAATTAAGATATTGTATTTAATCTGTGAACAATAAAACATTAAATTAGGCCTTATCTAGTGTATGTTTTATTAACTTCAAAAGTCACAGATAAAAGCAATTCAAAGAGAATTACAAACTTAATACTAAAAATTACTTAATACGAAAATACTAAATTTAACTGCCAATTGATTTTTGCTGTTAGGCCTACTTCGGGCTGTGTAACCTATTGTCTGTAAGAAAACGTACTTCTTCCAGATTGATTTTGGCACCTTGGAGTGTATGAATTATACATAATGTTTCCTACTTAGGCTTAAATTATGTTACTGAAGTGGTGCGTTCAACCATTCAACTTACCTGTTGAATCACTGCGGTAATTTGCTTGCACTGTACGTACTGACGTTCTAACGCAAAATGCATAACGAATTAAGCCGTATGTTGCTTTTATAGTGGCAACTCCTCGTTCAAACTTTTTATTATTATTATTTTTTTTAAATTTTATTTACATAACGTATTCAGCCGTACGTTGTTTTTATACTGAAAACTTCTCATTTAAACTTTTTTTTTAAATTTTTGATTTTATTTAGATAACGAATTCAGCCGTATGTTGCTTTCATACATAAAACATGGTGTTTTTGATTTTATAAATAAAATTAAATCAACGAAGTTTTTTTACTTGTTATTTATTTCTATGCATTACTGACGCGAAAAGCCGGGGATGGGTGGGTTTTACTATTGTCAAGTTCCTACATTTGTGGCTGTTCTGTCAAATGGAAAACAAAATAATGTTGGATGAATATGATACAACCGGGGTTTAAATTAACTTTAAAAAAATTATGCCTATACAAAAGTAACGTAGTTCATTTAAGATATTAAAATACCACGGAAAAACCAAAAAGGCTGAGCGAAGCAATATTGTGAATTAAAAACTATTAGGAATTCGTGATAATGTTATAATATACATGGCGATTCTAAACAAATTACATCAATACAGAATATGTCTGCTTCATCAACGAATTGTGTTCATTCAAACATCAGCTTGACTTTGAGAAAAAATACAAATACAACGAATGACTTAACACGCAGTGAAAAAAAAAATTGATTTTAAATCTTTTGGACTGTACACAATAACGTTGGATATTTTTAGTTCAGTATCAACATATAATACAATTACTGGTCAATATCGATTTTAAAAGAAAATCCAAAACAACAAAACATGTCATATTTCGTTAAAGTTAATGTTTGCAATAACTTAAATAGTCCTACAGCTGTTTTCTGATCTAACGGCCACAACTAAACCTCTGGTTTGCTATATTTTATATACTTTATAACCGGTCAGGAGCATTTTATTCTGGCAAACTATGTCGGTGTTACTGGTTGGTGGGGGGGGGGGAAGAGGGGGCAGAATTTGAATGTGTCATATCCGGCATTCCTTTAACAAAAAAGTTAACTTTTGAAATGGATAATTTATTATTATTCTACTATTTCTAAAATGGTTCTAAAAATAATTTGTCTCAGTAACATAACAGAGTTTAGCAATTACGGTACTGTATTGTTTTCGTAGCCAAGCAGTGCAATATCGCTCGTAATTATTACATCAATACAAAGAACTTTATACACATAGATATACATTTATATAAATAAATATATATATTTGATATATAATATAGAATATGTAACATAATATGTGCTATAAATAGAATACTGCTTTATCCATATCCAATATCCATTCTGTCCTCACATAACGAGGCAACAGATTTTATTATAAAAGCTGTCGAACTAAAAAATACTGTATTTCTGATATATATTGGTTCATTCTCTTCTATGAATCAATTGAAGTTATCCAGTCCATTAAGATTACTTAGATGCTCGATTACTACTACTATGGAATACAGAGGCAGTAAACCATTTCTATAAAGAAAACAAATAAAATATGTTCACATCACACGTAAACAGAATTTAAAAAAATGATAGCATGATAACTTATTATTTTTTCTACAAATACCAATAATTTATTATCGTAAAATGTCACTTCACGGGGTGAGACGAAATGCCGACGATAAAGACCCCTCCCCGCTCTCGTTATTGTGTGTTTGCAAAAATCATCGTCATAAACAACATCATCATCAGCAGCAGCATCAGCCGTATTTAGTGGACTACAGGGCGAAAGCCTTCCCAAGCTACCACCAGGCACTCTGCTTAACTTCTTGCCTTTCCATCCCACTTATTCCCAGTAAAGTTGTTTATTTCGTCTCTCCGTAATCATTCTGTCTACTGCGACGCCCTTTTTTTTCTAATCATGGTCTCCATTCTGTTCGGCCATCTATTGTCGATTGCAGGTATAATATCGTGATTTAAAAGATACGGTATTTATCATCCTAAACCATAAAAAAAAACAACTTTGACCCCATCAGAAGACTTACACTGGGACCCTGACCAAAGTCCTTAACCCTTGGTTTGAACCCTTTGTCAGACTTGTTGGCCCCTCGTGGAAGCATTTCTGGAGCACCACAGCATAAGGAGCATCAGTGGCACTATTTTACCCCTTAGACATGTTGGCCTACCGAAGCCATCACGGTACTGGCGACATCTTGCAGAGTCGTTATAACACACCACTACTGGTACATAACTTACCCCTTTTACAAGTTGGTCCACTAAAGCCATCAGGGCATCGGCAAGAGATTGTGAAGTCGTTGTCGTTAACCAAACACGTTCCGCCGTTCAAGCATATATCACAAGCCGACGGCTCTGAAAGAGGTTTCAGTTACTTATAGTGAGCAAACTTAATAGTTTGGTAGGTCAGTGGCGTAACGCAAGCCTGTGTTCGAGCCCTAAGACCTCATAAGTGCTACGCCACTGATTAGAGTACTATATTGAAATTCACACCGCACCACCCCCTTCCCCCGTCAGATAAGCCCCGATCCAAGCAAAGTTTGCCAGTCCCTAAATATTGCAGTTTAACTAAAGCAAAATTTGGGCCATCTTAAACCATAAAATATCTCTGATCGATGCTCTAGGCGTCCCCTTAGCTTGGACCCTGGTCGGACTGGTTGAACTTCCTGTTGGCAAATTTCTTAAGCCATTACTGGGGTTATTATATACTCTGGGGTGGATCCAGGCGATATCTCGACCCCCTAAAAATTCCTAGAGTGTCTTATTAAAGTAAATTGATTGGTTTATACGCTGGTAACATACAGTAGTGGTTGTTTTCACGCCAAAAAATAATTATTATAATTATAGGTGGATTAATTATAATTGTTCTAAATTACTACGCCGATTATTAATTCTCAAAAAGCTAATAACAACTTAGAATCACAAAATCCGGTTATAGTGGTAGAAAAACACCACGGTACAAAACTGTTGACGAGGCACATGCATGTACATGATTATGAACGTCACCTCAACATTGTGGGTGCGCAACCTCTCCACTTTCGCGCGTGTATATATTTTATCAGCACCGCCGAATTTTCCGTTTCGGGAAGTCAAATGTTAATAACGGAAACATTCACTAAACCACTGCCTTCAACACCATGAAGAGGAAAATAGAAAAAACAACTAAGCCCCCTCCCCCCATCCATCTCCTATGGGAAGGATAGTGTGAATATTATACCGAATCAATAATTCGTGAGTAAACCTTCTTGAGGGAAATGTTTACCTAATTTTAAAAGAGAACTAGCAAAATGATGTTTTGTTCTAGAGAGGATTTTTGATATGCCATTAATAATAGAATCAACCTTAAAATCGTTCTTTGGCTATTTTTTAATGAAGTTATAGGCGATTACATACGATTTTACCATGACGTCACTGGCGAAAAAGTAACAAAAGATTGTGTAAATAGCGCCGCGTAGGGTATCCACCGCGTAGGGTATCCGCCGCGTACGATCTTTGCATGCTGTAACAATCACAATTTACAGCCATGGTTACAGCATACACGCAAAGATCATACGCGGCGGATACCCTACGCGGCGCTATTTACACGATCTTTTGTTACTTTTTCGCCAGTGACGTCATGGTAAAATCGTATATAATCGCCTATAACTTCATAAAAAAAAAGCCAAAAAACGATTTTAAGGTTGATTCTATTATTAATGGCATATCAAAAATCCTCTCTAGAACAAAAAATCATTTTGCTAGTTCTCTTTTAAGAGAATTGTGTTTTCACAAATACATTTTATGGTATTTTTTTCTCTTATACTGTCATCACAAAACACTTTTACTGAGCTTACCTAAAATATTGTTGATATTCAAACTCTTTTTTTTTTCAAAACATGTACAAAAATCATAAGTATAGACCTAGGCTTTGAATAAACTCCACCTCCCCCCCCCCCCGCCTTCCTAAAATAAACCAGGGGCGGATTGCTATAAGCGGTCTTTAGACGGTCTTAACGGTTAGCTGGCTATAATCGTGACCTCACTACTGGTCTATAATTATAGACCATTGCTATACTGCGGTCTAACCAGTTAGCCGTCTTAAATTTTAAAGCCTACACGGAGGAGGCTTAAAATTTTGCTATATTGCGGTCTAACCAGTTAGTCGTCTTAAATTTTAAAGCCTACACGGAGGAGGCTTAAAATGGTCTTAAATCATTTTTATCATGACGTTTTGCTGATTAATTCAACAGTGCAATGACAAGACCTAGGCCTAGATCGTCAAAGTTGGAGAATCGAACGACGAATACTGCGCACACTTCTCAGCGTCTGTAAAAATAGGTCTACGGCGTTTATTTACGTTATTTCGATACATTTGCGTGCGTCGAGCACGCATGACGTCTTCCTCAATCTTGCGTTACCAGGGAGTGCTTGTTTGCGTTTCAATACTCAAAGCAGTCTTAGGGAAGACAGTTTTATAGCAATGGTCTTAGAGGAATGACTTTACTTAAGACCGTCTAAGTGATAAAGCCGGCTTTATTCGAGGAGTTAAGACTACCAGTTAAGACCGTTTTATAGCAATCCGCCCCTGAGCCTCATTTGAATTATACGCCCCCCTAAACAAAACCAATCAATCAATCAATCAAATGCATATAGAAGCGCCGGTCAGTTAAACATGTTCAAGGCACTCGACAAATTTAAATTTGAAATGCTTCCGAGAACAGGCTTTCAAACGTTTTTTTTAAATGTTGACGCTTAGTAAAGTTTTAATGTTTTTAACTAATGGAATTAACATCGTTCTCAACACATTCTATTCTAATGTTCTCCTCCTGTAGAATTACATTTTGGGATTGGTTGGGATATGTCTTTATGATCATACAATAACATATTTTAGCGAGGTGTGTTGTAGTTCAACATTTTTGCAGTGAAATGAAGGAGCGTTATATAAACACACCCACTTTACATCAAACAAAAATAACAAAAGCCTCTCTCAAAACTCTCCCTCAAAACCCCTTTTCAATAATAAACGCCCCGGGCGTTTTTATTCAATTTAATACGGTATGTAAAACTTAATTAAAACGCTAAGTGTACCTGGTTCAGCTGAAGGAGTTACGTCATCTACAACATTAATCCGCCATCCGAGGTGACGATGTGTGTAACACTAAGATTAAAAAAGAACATACTTAAGAATAAAAGTTCCGTCCTTGCATTATAAATTGATGCATGTAGCACACGCACCGTGTATGTAAATTTCAATCTCTTGCGACCATCACCCCGTACACTCACTTCGTCTCTGCATCCTCCATATTTTGGTACAATTTTCGGCATTATCCTTACCTTCATGCTATAACTAGTATACATCACCGTCTTTTTTTTTGTTTTATTTACACTATTTCACAATATATGGGGAATAAATGTACATTTGCACTTAGTATGGTGCTCTTGTTGTGGTGATCATATCAAAACGTCTTTTTATGATACATCTTCAAGTGTTTGTCAGTGTGCATTGTGTATGACACTCAAAGAAAACCATTACATTAAAAAAAATAAACATTGTGTGTAGGCCTATGAGACTCAAAGAAAACCATTACATTTAAAAAATAAACACAATATAAATGTTGTTCAAACTTCATTGTTTTATCAAAATTAAATTGGAAGGCATTATTTTGAGTAAAAACCAATTATGCTTAGTAGTTGACAGTTATAGAAATTGCATAAATGGACGACAGAAAGTAGCAGCAACAACTTAGCCAAAAAATGATAGCCATTCGGCGAAACTGTTTACACTGGGGCGGATGCAGGATTTGGCGGTAGGGGGTGCGTAAGGGTTCACCTCACTGCCACCACCATGGTTGGGTCTGAAGAAATAGAAATTTTGAGAATAGGGGCCTCTCATGCGCGGATCCAGAGTTTCAGCTCGGTTTCCATAGAATCGCTCGCCCTATCGGCGACAGTTGTGGTTCACAGACGAATCGGGGTGCCTTCCCGATTGCGCAGGGCAGATAGCAATGCACCCTGATTCGTCTGTGTCTACAACACAATCGGAAAAGTTGAACCAGGTTCAACCTTCCCGACAACTGTCGGCTACTGTCGCCGATAAGTTGTCGGTATGGAAAGTATGGAAACCGAGCTTTACCCTGACTATCGCACATATGGGGTCCCTGAGTGGGCAGGGTCATGGGAAGAGAACGTAATGTTTGCTTGTTCCGTCGCTGGAAGACTATTTTAGACGTGGAGCTGGGGGGAGGGGTAGTTTGCGGTAGTTTTGGGGTTGTCTTAGCTTCGGAAAGTTTAGTTTTCCAGATGCTGAGAAATGCACTTACGTGCATTCCGAGACGTCTATTGATGAATGAATACACACTGAATTCATAGTTTTCCCCCATTTTACCATGGACAATTAATAATTGCGATGATGAAGATAATGATGATGATGATGTGAAAATGATAAGGAGGAGAAGGAGGCATCGTAGCAGGTGACGACAGGCTCCTGTGCAAGGTTAACTAACAGGCCCTTTGATATGAGTGTCAACAGAGGCCCGTTACCCCGAGTTCGTCGTCACATTTTCCAGTGCACACAATCGGACAACAGTAATTATCTACAATTTATGTAATCAGTAAATATTAAATCCAATTTCAATTAAAAAAAATAATAATAAATAAAAAAATATCGTACGTTTTCAGTGCACGCGCAATAACGCGGTTCTGAAATTAATCTTCGAAAAAAAAATGCATTTTTATCGTGCTGCCACCAGCTGGGAAAGCAATTAATTATGCATAAATGTCTTCTGTGTTTGGTTGGTTTTCAGTCTCTCAGTGCTCGGTGGTCATTTTTGACTTTCTTTTTAGATGTACTGTATCAAAGTGTGTTCGTAAGTTTTAAGCTCTAGGTCTACAATTAGGCTACCAACTCCATTAAAGACTTGGTTGTTTTTGTTTTTTTTGGTTTTTTGTTTTGTTTGTATGTTTGTTTGTTTTTTTTTTTTTAACGAATAGCATTCGTTAAAATAATGAACTAGTAATTCATTAATCAAAAAGTAATAATTAAAATAATATGTTTTCGCTTTGGTGTAATTTTGGATTAATAAAATTATATATGCTATTCAATAAGGTTATAAGAATCAACGCACATGTATAGCATATCCTCCCTGTGATTGATTTTGTATTAACCATACACTCTGACATAAATCATAAAAATAATACAAGAACTCAACAGTGTACCGTACGTTATCGCGCAGCCGATTTAATTACAGTCCCTCTTTAATTAATACTTAGACAATGCAAAAAGTTTATTTTGTCGATATATTTTTGTCTTTGGTTTAGGTAGGTGGCATTTCTGACAGAAAGAGTTGGAATTCGCCAGACCACCGGGAACTGCTATCACTTTATATTGGCGAACGGTGCGAAGAGGTCTGGATCCGCGCCTGCCTTTAGGTGTCCAGATTTGCACTCTCATACCTTACAACAATGCAATAAAACAATTATTTTCCTTAATAGGCCTATAATTTAGTGAGGAAGGGGGGGGGGGTTGCGACCGCACCATCTGCACCCCCTCTGCATCCTCCCCAGGTCCTCAAGTAACATACCCAGACCATACAGTACCTACAGTACGAAGACAAAAGCTAGAAATTCATTGTTAATCTAAAAACTAGAACCAAATCTCATGGTTGCACTGTTGCCAAGAATTGATAATATCTTTAAAATTAGGCAGGAACATAGCCACATTAAGACGACGTACCACTGCCAGTTAGTACAAATACAAGTTAGCCCAACATTGTGTTTAAAATTCTTTAGTTCGTTTGAGCATTTTTGTGAGAAGTTATTGACGTTCAAGCTTTTTTTTTTTCAATTATTATTTACCCAGTCAACATCGCCTAAGTCGACTGTGCATAGTTCGAAAATACGTAATTGTTTTATTCTTTTACATTAAACATTTATAATTACGAGTGTGGTAAATATTTTCTCTACTAACTATAACATGGAACATTCCGCACACGATCGGCGATAACAAAATACCTCGTATAATTTGCTGAGTAAATACAAATCGAAACTGATTTATCACAGCTACTTTGTATTCGACTTAGTCGAGTTTGACTGTAGAAATACAACAGCATATTTTTATTTGATAAATTAGGAGGCAAATGCTGTGGCTATCAAATTTATACTGTTTATGTTTCTGTTCGTATACTGCACTAAACCTCAGATAATTGAGTAAAAGGCGTGGATGTGCTGTCGTTGGGACATGCAGATTCGTTATTCTTGAAGTCAAAGGTTATATCATTTATATCCAAAGGATTTATATTTTAATGAGAACAGGACAATTTTAACTAGAAATACATAACTAGATATTAAATGGGGACCAATTTTAATAAGATGTAAACAAAAGTATATAGCCAATAAAAAAATATCTATATAAAAGTTTTGCACAATAATACTATTCATGAGACAGGATAGCATTGGATTACATGGATACCAATGACAAGAAATTAAATCTTGACCTGACAGTTGATCTATGAAAAAAATATTATTTGAAAATATTAGAAATGGAATTAAGTTTTTTGTATTTGATTATCGGTTTGGGGAAGAAAAGAATAAATAAGTGTCAGTGCGGGCTGTATGTGTACGGAATTTCTTGTGATAAGCTGTTCAGGTGGAGCCAGAACAGCGAATTAAAGTCGGAGATAGTATGGGTGGTAGTCATTTCGCACAAATCTAGTAGCACGTCTTTGGATTTTTTGAGACTTGAGAGATATCTTGTTTTGGTAGGGACCCAAAACTGTAGAGCAATATGCAAGCTTCGGCCTAATAAGAGTAATATATGCCAATTCTTTTGGAGATAGTTTTTGAAATTACGTTTTAGGAAGCTTAATGTTGAATTGGCTTGTTTTGTAATTATGCTAACGTGGATGTTCCATTTCGTGTCATTTGATGATTCAATGCCCAGGTATTTAGTGTGGTTCACATGTTGAAAAGGTGTCTGGTTCATGGAATAAAACAGTATACAGTACTTGGGATTTTAGTACGATGAAAGGAAAGGACAAATCATTTTCTCGAGTTAAATTCCCCAGGTATCAGCCCAGTTAATGAGATTGTTCAGGTCTTGTTGTAATACAAGGTGGTCCTCAAAAAACAAAATCTTACGATAAAGTATACAGTTGTCAGCAAAGAGACCATGGGGCACACCTCAGTCTACTTTTGTGTATGAAGAAGACTCGGCATCCACAAGAACTCGTTGGAATCTTCCGGTGAGAACATGTTTGATCCAGCATAAGATGTTCCCATCAATGCCATAGTTCTTTAATTGATAACGACGTTTGTGGGGTACGCATTCAAAAGCCAATTGCTAAAGTCAAGAGTGATGAAGTCTGTTTGTTCTTTTTAGTCAAGGTTTTTAAGGATGTCGTTTGTGGTGGTGATGACTTAAGACTCACATGAATGACCAGCACGAAAACCATGTTGAGGTCAGTGAGGATTTTTTTTTGTTTTTCCAAGATGCACCAAAAGATAATGACGTATGTTCCATAAGTTTACATGTGACACTGGTAAGGGATATGGGCCTGTAGTTGGCAGGATCATGTTACTACTCTTCTTAAACAATGGTGAAATATTGGCATTGCGCCAGTCATTGGGTAGTTTCCGAGCTCTAGTGACTTATGAAAAATGGTGATGATTGCTGGAGCACTTCTCTGTGACAAGTTTGAAGTACAACTGAAGGGAGTTAATGGACCATTAGCTTTATTCGAAGTAGCATAAATTTTTAAAAGAAACTAGGCAATTATTTCAGAAAGCAGTAGCATTATATTTATTGAGCTCGTGACAAGTAAAGTAAGTTTAAATAGTCATATAATGACAATATCATCGAGGTACGACAATATATGCCTTGGGTCGCCAAAGAATAGGTAGTTTGAAAGAGAGTCGCCACCTAAAAAAGTCGTCATCATATTATTTTACCATAAATGTAGAGCTATGCGTTTTTATGCCATTTCTTTTGCTAATGATTAGCCAACAAGAAATCCCCAAAACAAGAGACAAAAATATTGACCATAAGTACAGAGATTTACAAACAAAAATACTTTTTATTGCCAACTGCATTCTATGAACAAAATGATTGATTGATTGGTAAATTGATTATTATTCTTATTCTTTATTGGCAATCAAAAAGAGCTGGATGGAGGGCCTGGTCACTAAAGGCCAACTCAGACAGCGTCGGCCGACGCAGCCCGACCCGATTTATCGTCGGGGACAGTCTTAAGCCGTCGTGAGAAATATTAAATACGTTTAATATTCTACTACGCGACTGCCCCCGACGCACACCATCGCGTCTGCGTTCAACTCACACAGACCCGACGCGACAACAAATCGCGTCGGGCTGCGTCGGCCGACGCTGTCTTAGTTGGCCTTAAGTAAACTTACTAACTATAACATATGTCAGGGAATCACTCCCATCCAGTATTTACAAACAAATACATACAGTATTATTAAAATTTATATAAAACACAAAAATATACATCAAGCAAAAAGCTGAAGAAAAAAAATAATATGCCTAATAATAATAATAATAATTATTATTGGTGGGGGAGGGGGTGAGCGGGGCATCTCCCGAAATGTGTTTTCCCTAGTTACCAGGAAATGCATTGTTTGCTACTATAGGTTTGTATTTTAACAACTGAAAATCTGTTAGGAATCCACATTTTTTTTTCATGAGAATGCATATTTCTGCCGTCCACGATCGAACCTATCCCACTGACATGAGCCGCGCACGTGGCAGCTGGCAGTGAGTTCTTGATCCTATTGATGCAGCTAATTTTGTCTGATCTGATCGAAAAGCTAGTAAGAGAAATATTTAATTTTTTAAAATTTAATTCCTGAAAATTATCAGAATTTATCAACTAAAGAATACATGAGATACCATAAAAAAATTTAATATAAAATTATGATAATACAGTAATTATGAAAGAGACTTCAGAAAAATAAAATTAATAACTAAACAGTTTAAGTTCAAGCCAAGCTCTTTGTTAAAGATCCATGCTGTCAATTTTGGGGCCCCTCGTACCTGGCGCTCCTCCCCCCGTCAGCGCCCGAGCGTGACGCCACTGTTGGCAAGAAAGACAACCACTTACTAAAAAACAGAATCTAAAGAAAAATACACAAAATATTACAAAATTTACAACATCAATTTTCAGGAGAATGTAATCCACTATCAGACACAGATGTGCTGCATCCCCCACCCCACCACCAAAAACATTTTAAATTTGCTTTTAGCTGATCAAATTAAAATAATAAATAAATAAACAGAAGGGGTGGGGTCAGAAATCCCTAAACCAGCTTAAGCAAGATGTTCTGATGGACGACAGCTATTAACAACTAACATTGAAGCTAAAGTTAATGTGGTCTAATAGAGTGACAACAATTTTACACAGATAAATAAGCATGAATTAGTCATTTGAGATAAGAATAGCAGATAAGGAAGTTAAACCCAAAGTTGGCTGCGCCTTACTCTCCTGAAACGCACCTTTAATAATTATATAAACATAAGGCTGGTTTTCCACTAGGTGAATTTATTCGCGTGAATCAAAGCGTCGGTTCGCTTCCTGCGCTCTGATTGGTTGCGCATTTTTTTTCGCTTCGCAAAACTCAGATATAAATGTAAATGCGCATGCGCATAAGCCGACGGTTTCGATTCGCACGAATAAATTCGCAAAGTAGAAAACAGTCTTAAAGTTATAAATACAATGCGCCCTCTAATTCGAGTTCCTTCAATTCGAAGCCACTTTTCCAAAGAACTACATGATAGCAATCATTATTAATTTTTTTACACAAATCTAACCTTCTAAATTGGAGAAATAACCCAGAGACCTCCAGGCTTTTTAACCAAAAAGTAGTCTCAAATCGGAGGGTGGACTGTATAAATTTAGAAATGTTACGCTTAGAAACCCAATATGGCAAGAGCGGCAAGCACAGTGGAAGCGAAGACGTAAAAGCTCGTTAGATGTTTCATAAATGATTGTGCACCAGAGGTTAGACCACCAACGTGTATTTTCCATCCAAGATAGCGATGTGTATAACACTAAAATGAAAGAAGATGTAATAAACAATGTAAGATATGCTTAGTGATATATAAAGTTAATAGACAAAGAAAATTGTTCTCAACGGGATTCGAACCCAAGACTACCTTTCGGTTTCTCTATACCAATTAAGTTGAGCTATTGGTAAATTGTTTTATTAAGCCACAGTGGATTTGGGCACGCCTAACTTAAAGAAGTTGAAAGTAGGCTAATAAACATGCAAGCATGATATGACCGTAAAAACGAGCCCCCAGTGAAGTATCTGATTTTAAATCCTTGACTGAATTCTTCTTATTAATACCAGGGCAACGACTGTAATGGCCATTTTCTGTCTGTAAGACCGGACTACTCGACGTTGAATCAGTTTGTAGGCCTAGTGTTGGACTACTCGACGTTGACTCAGTCTGTATACCTGCAACTGTATTAAGCGGCGTTGAGCCAGTTGGTACTAAATTCGGATCTTCAACCTTAATCTTCCATCCAAGGTAACGATGTGTGTAACACTATTTAAGATGTCATAATACTTTAGTTATAACGTAAAAAACTTAAAAGAAATTGCTAAAATCAGGATGAGAATTCCGCCTGTCCCTCTATCTCAACATACACGCCAGGCAAGTAATTAAAGAGGGTGTCTATAAAACAAAGATGGAAGACCCCCAAAACGGAGACACCTATCTTTTCTTTTTTATTTTAATGATAATACACCAGGCTGTCACAAAATCAAAATTACGAGATTATTTGGATTTCCGTTTGTGAAATTTTTAAGGGTCTTCTTTTTATAGACACCCTATATGGGCGTCTACAAAACGAAGACTGAAAACCTAAAAAAATCATCATAAAACTATTGCCGCCCAGTACCTCTTTCATTATTTCATCAGAATAAACTCAGAAATAACTAAGAGTGTTCGTTTAATAGACGTAGGTGTCTACAAAACGAAGACCGAAGACCCGAAAAACAAAGACCCACATTTTTGGTACCGGTATATGATTAATAAGACATTAAACTGTTGATCTATAGTGAAAAACAAATTTGGATTTTTAGGCAATTTTTTGAGCTCCCATATTTTATAGCTCATTTACTCATACTAGCCTGTGCGACAACTTAACCATTTTGCCACGACATGCCTCAATATCAGACTATCACAAAATCAAACTTACGAGATTATTTGAACGTCTGTTATGTGAAATGTTCAAGGGTCTTCCTTTGATAGACACCCTACGTGAGTTTCTACAAAACGAAAACCCTGAAAAACGAAGACCTCCATTTTTTTTCCTTAATTACCTTTTTAGAAATATTTCGAAATCATCATAAAACCATTGCCCTCTTTCATCAATTACATGGGAATAACTTGAAGAATGTTAAAGGTAACCAAGGGTCTTCGTTTTATAGAAATCCCATAGAGTGTCTACAAAACGAAGACCGAAGACCCGAAACAAAGACCAACATTTTTTTCTATCAGTCGTGATGAAAATAAATTACTGCATGCTATGTATATATGACATTTATCTTTCTAGCACATTATTGCCTGAATTTGAGTCAATTTTTGTCTTTATTTCAGTTCCAAGGCGGCAGCCAATCCTGTCCACGACAGAGTTCGTCTTGGCGCTGTTACTCTCTAAACGAAAGTAAGGCTTGGCCTAGTGGTATGCGTATTTTTTGTGGGGAGGAGGGCTAAAGAACTTTGAATATTTCATTCATAAATATTTTTTATGGTAACATAAACAGTAGGAATTTCGTATAGTAATGCATTTGTGAAGCATCAGTCATTTGGTAGTTATACCAACATGGATGAGATAATTAAGGGTCTTCGTTTTATAGTTTTTATATAGGTGTCTACAAAACGAAAACCAAAGACCCGAAATAAGAAGACACACATTTTTCTCTTAATCGTGATAAAAATAATCTTGCTAGCATAGTATTGCCTGAATCTGAGTCAATTTAATGACTTACTCTTTATTGCAGTTCCAAGGCGGCAGCCAATCTTGTCCACGGCAGAGTTCGTCTCTCATAAACGGAAGTAAGACTTGGCCTAAAGGGGGCCATTTGTTTTATGATTTTGAAATACTTTCAATAAGATAATTGAGAAATAATTGTAGGTCTTTGTTTTCCAGGTCTTCGGTCCTATAAAACGACAACCTTTGGAAATTTCACAAACAGGCGTCCAAATAACCTCGTAATTTTGATTTTGTGTCAGCCTGGTGTGTTCTTATTAAAGTAACAGAGAACAAAAATAGGGGTCTTCGATTTTGGATCTTCTGTCTTCGTCTTATAGACACCCTAAAGAACAAGTTTGTTATGGGCCATTAGGTGCAATGCTGTGAGGGGATCGCCACTCTTCGTAACGAGTAGGCCTATGTTTACCTTCCCTAGCATATGCCGGTACCCATTTATACAGCCGGGTAGATAGGAACAAACGTAGATAATGCGCCTTGCTTAGAGGGACACAGGCAACCTGCAGAATGAGAGAGCTCGAACCCCTCACCGTGAGGTTAACAGTGCTCGCCTCAACTCTTGCGTCAACCGTTCCACCTGTCTAAATAAGCCGCATGATAACCTGACATTTTAAATAATAATCCAATCTTCCTAATTATATGTACCCAGTCATCTTTACTAATTCATAGATTAACCATCTCTACGGTAAAACATGGAGGTATTACCTCCATGGATAAACCCAGTTACCCACCTGATAGTATACCAAATCCGGTGTATTTTCGTCTGGTGTCCACACTAATTCAGCGGGTTCCTGTGGCGATTCACATTCCTCAGTCAGCGTCATAAAGTAGTCATTAAAAGTGTCCGAAGTAGCTGCTTGGTCTTCACCAGTGTTCTCATAAATACACAAGGATCCATCTTAAATAAATCATACACAATAGCATTGAACATCTGCATGTTTAATTCTATGCAGTTCTATGACAATCATAAAAAAAATAATCTTCCTTCCCGTTCAAGTAATGTTATGTCTTCATTGTCTGCGATTTTTCCGCCCAAACATTTGCGGCAAAATCGGTATTACTTACGCTCCCCTACCCATTCCATATACGCTGTTGTGGAGCTTGACAGCTAGGTATACTTACTGACTGGTCCAGCGTAAATCACCGTGTCGTTCTGAAAATAGGAAATCAAATAGAAAATTATTTACTTTGTTTTCGTTCATAATTTTTTATTTTAATTGTTTTACTGAACTAAGAAATTATAAGACAACGGTTATATATAAGTATGCGCATGCCTTAGTGAAGATGCTTTAAAAATTAAATTAATAGTTTACTTTAATATACTGTTTACAGAGAACATACCACGGTCGGTTAAAATGGTAAACCGTGGGAGTGGCATTGTTAATTCGATTTTAGAAGGCCTACTTAAAAGCTACCGGTATATAAACTCGTTTGTTCTCTTAGACAGGGTTTTATTTGCTGAGCCGCAATAGAATGGCCTGAAGTAGAGTATGACCGCTTTAGACTCCTTCGTACCTGCCACTCTAACAGATTAATGTTGTTCAGATTTTTAAATATTTTTAATATTCAATAATAGGTGTGTTAGGCCTAGTGACCTTGATTTCATCTTCTAACAGTGACGCCAGTCCTCCCGCATCATCGTTAGTTATGTAGAACGGATGATAATCGGCAGATCGGGCTGGATTTGAGCCACCAAACACTCGGAACGTGTAACTAATGCCTCGTCGCACTGTCAGCTCAGGAATCAGGAGTCCGTTGACATACCATGAAATGCCCCACCCTGGCTTGCCTAAAGAATTGGTAAGTTTGGAATCATAGAGGTTAGTACAATCATGCTCAATACTATACAAATTAGTAAATAGTTTGAGTTAAGAATCATCGTGGACAAAAAATTCATGGTGTCGACACATTAAAATCCACTTGAGAGAGAGAGAGAGAGAGGGATATGGGAGAGTAGTCTTAACATTTAAAAATAACCAACATCAGACAGCACACATGCAGCACACAAACGCCTAACAACCATTATGACGTTTCAATATAAATACCAAAGAAATTTATATTACTGTTCATATACAAATGTAGGTCTAAAGTCAAATAATTCCCTGTTTTCTTAGGAATAATATTGTTTCAGGCCGATAATGTGAGCTTTCAGTGATAATAAACTACACAAACGTGTATCTTCTTTGTATGTAGTGTCGCAAAATAAATTAGTAAAACATAATAATAAACAACGCCAGAATAAACGATTTCTTCTGAATTAAACGCAAATGTTATAGCATTTGTTTTATTTCTCTCTTTCTGGACAAAACTGTGTGTAGAACTTAAGCATACGACATTAGCAAGAATATAATGTACCTGTTATAGCAGTGTATCCCCTGTCGCCACCTGATTGCCCGATTTTAAGTACAAACTGTGTGGTGTTAGGCCCTATTTCCGAAGGAGGCCATGGTTCTGGTGCTGTCGACTCAACGCCTGATATCAGAGGTGGACATGAGTTCTGAGCACTCCTACCGAAGTTGATCGTCTTGCCTTTATATAACAACAGGGAAGGTTAGAAAAAGTTATCTATATATCTAACTAACTATTTGTCCTGTCTCTTATACACATCTAGATGTGTATAAGAGGCAGCTTACTGACTGGTCCATC